TCCCACAAGATCAGACAGCAGCAGCAACCATAAAGAACCCAAAAAGTATGCCTGGTAATGCTAAGAGATTGGTCTCATTTGTCTCTCCTACAAACATAGTAGGTCCTTGGGAATACTATCCCTTGCACACATTTATTGCATGATGTCCAACAATCCAAATACATTATAATACAAAGGTCACTTGAAATTCCGTCACTACAAAAGCCTTGTTTGCCTGACACATTAACTCGTTCTGCCTCCCAGCACAGCTTCATGTGAAGAAAATGTAACATTTGAGGACTAGTAGTGTGGTACTGACCTACTGGTTTCTAGATTAGGGTTACTCCAGTTTTGGGTCATGAAATGGTGGAGAGCTCATGCAACCAAGACTAAGCTTAGACTGATTTCAGAGTCACTTATCCTGCTTTCATGTTTGGAAGACTTTTAGGCAATATGATTTTTGATACCTAGATTCCTTAAAAGAAAAAGGGTTGAGCAACTGAGCTAAGACACTGCCAACCCATCAGCTCAAAACATGAAAAATGAAAATCTAACAGAATACTAGAAGACAATAACGGCTTTATACTGGTCTGTCTTCAAACAAAATCACAATTCCACTTTCACTTTCTCTCCCTTTGAAGTTTGTTTCTCAGCTGCTCTCACAAACACACTGTAAGACAGCGCTGGACAGGGACAGCTGGATGTGGTTCCTCAAGTTCTGCTTCTCGCCCTGCACAGATGTGCAGTTCATCTCTCTATGATCCAGTGTGGCCTCATAACCAGAGAGCCATTCCTCTTAGTCAGCGGAGGGGAGGTGTGCATGGCATTGTTTGGCACGTACACTGCCTCCCTCGAGGCATGCAGCCCGCTTCGCTTCCTCTTCAGATTTCCCACAAATGCTCTCAGATACAAAAAATCCATTCTCAGGAAGTTTTCCCTGGTCATGTCTCTGGAAGCCACTGTTATCCTGACCAGCTGGTCCAACACCTTGTTCTTCTTGCAGCTGGATAACTCTTTGAGGTTGATAGGCTTTGACCGTGCATGGAGAATCCGAAATTCCAGGTCAAAGTGTGCAACTGCAGGGCCTGACAGGATCAGAATGTTACTGCTGTTCAGCTTCCCATCTGTCCATGTAAAACTAGCAATGGAAAAATGAGAAAATTGTGAGTTAACTCAAAAAAATCAGTAAAAAAAGTATTAACTAAAAATTCACTTTCATCACATTAGTTACATTGTTCTTATAATCCAGCTGATGAGCAGTGGGCTCTTTTATGGATAAATGTTACAGATAAAATCCAATAAGGAAAGCAGTTCTGCAGCATTGATGGTTTTCCTTTCAATGTAAAGAAATCATGCTAAACAACAGAAAGAAACTGGCACTTGCCTGTAGGAGCCTGTCGTCACTCTGATGCCATCAATTAACATGAATTTTTCACGGACTTTTCCAATAATTTTGGTTCCTGACCTGGTGCAGTATGTGTTCCCAGTGATAATTCTAACTCTCATCAACTGTTAAAGATACAGCAAGAGTCAGGTGGATTTCAAAGTTCTGTTTAAAGGAGTAACATCCCAATAATGATCCCAGATTTCCCTTGAACTAGCAAGGGTTGCTGTGCACTGGCACAAGAGTCACTCTCTAGGAATCAAATGATAATTTTGTCTTGTTTAATAGGCAAAGAGGTGACATAAAAGGGCAAACCCACAAACTGACTGTGCAGAATGTGACTGTAAAAACTCCTTTCACCTAATCCTGTAGGGATCCAAATTCTACACACTCCCAAGAACCTGCTTCTCCATCAGCCTTCCAAGTCCTGGTGAGCCCAAGCAACTCTAGTCATGCTTTAGGAACTGGACATTCCTCCTGCATTTCCTTGAATGTTCAACTAGTATTTATGCTCGGAAAGCAGCTGTAACATCCACTTACAAAGGTTTCAGATTTTCTATTAATTGCTGCCTTATGCAAGAATAGTCAAATCTTCCAAGAGTGAGGTGGAGGTACATAACCCCCATTTGAAGTTGTGGCAGCAAGTATAATAGTTTCTTCTTTCAACAGCTCAGACTACACTTGTAAGAGGAACAGCTCCCTACCCCTATAATTATGACAAGGCTTACCTTTTCCTGTTCAAGGTCAACTCCCAGATCCTTGCACATTTTTAGAAAGTGGGAAAATGAAGACTGATCTAGCAGGATATACACTTTAACTTGCCGCTGGCTACAAGCTTCCATGAAGTCTTTGAAGATATCAGTATCTGTGAAGGAATCCATAACCAAGGCAATCATCTGCAACAAGTTTTAGAAGAAACCATTAGGCTATTTCCACAGCATCCCAAAGGAGACGGCACATGAGGAATTTGACTTTCAAATTAACTATTTCCGCATGCACATTTTTTTCCTGGTGGTTATGGAACATGGTACAGTCTTGTGTGATATGGTATATTCTTCCTCACCCTGAGATACGGCAAAACCAGGAGTCTAGTTCTCTTAGTTCTGTGTTAGACAAATTTGGTTTCTAATTCCTAGGCAAGAGGTTGTTTTTTTCCTGACAACAGATGTCTTTTCCTCAAAACCATTGCCAGAAGAAAAAGGTGAGCTTATTTCCAACACTAAAGTTTTCCAGTGTTTCAAACTTTTCAAATATGAAAAAAAAGCACTAAAAAAAAAATATTTGACTGCTCTTTACATCTCACCTCTCTATTTAAGATAAAGTGAGGTTTGTTTTCAACTTATTATTCTCATGATATTTCAAGTCAAGATCTGATTATTCTCTCAAATTCCTTGAGTAAAGCTTCCCTCGAGAGCCATCTCCTGCTCTTCCTTACGGGGAGAACCCCAGGATCCATCGTAGGATAAGGAAGCAACAACTGCTTATGAGAGCTGGGAATGGGCACGCTCGGGATGTATCGCTCACAGGTGCCGAGTACCCGAGGGAGCTCAGCAGTACCCAGAGAACCCGGACTACGTTTTCATCAATATGGGGGGGGGGGGGGGGGAAAGCTGGCAAATACTGAACCTATTTTAAGAATATATACAAAAGAGGGAGGGAAAGAAATAAAGAAATAAGGAAACAGCATAGTAAGTCAAAACGGGAGCGTATTTAAGAGCAAGTGGAGGGGAGAAGGACGAAGTGGCTCCAGGCAGCCGCGCGGCACTGGGGAACGGGGAGCTCTTGGCCCATCCCCTCCGGAGCGATGTAACCGGGAAAGGGGCAGTTCGGAGATGCACCATACAGAGTGCCACTCCTCGGATATTTTCGAGCTTGTCCTTTTCACGAGGCATTCTCTGCTCGACAGGGGCGGTTTCAAAGCCGCCCGGCCTTGCTCGGTGTCCCGGGAAGGAGACGCTTACCGGCGCCGGGCACTCACCTGCCGGGCGGAGCGGATCTGCCGCCGCACCGCCTCCTTGCAGCCGTAGATGCTGCCGCTGTCCCCGTAGCCGGGCTGGAAATGCGCCTCCACCCGCGTCAGCCCGCGGAAGGCGCCGCTGGCGAAGCCCGGCCAGCCCAGCTCCAGCGCCGGCGGCTCCAGGTCCGAGCGCTCGGGGAAGTAGGTGAGCGAGGAGGCGTCGAGCGAGGCGCCGGGCGAGGACTGTGCCGCCGGCTCCGGGCCCGCGGCGGGCGGCAGCGCGGCCCGCGCGATGTCCTGCACCTCGGGCTCCGACAGGAACGGGGGCAGCCGCTCCCGCCGCAGGAAAGCCCGCAGCGCCTCGGGGCCGCCCGCCACCAGCTCCTCCAGCGCCAGGCGCTGCGCCTCGCTGTACGGCCCGGCCGGCGGCGGCCAGCGCCCCGCGCCCTCCTCCAGCCACTGCGACGAGTTGGCCATGGCCGGAGCGGCCCCGCTCCGCCCGCCGCTCCTTTATAGCGCTCCAGAGGCCCCTCCACGCCTCCAGCCCGGCCCTTCGCCCACGGGACAGCCCTGGGGGGCAGAGCCAACAGCCTTTCCCCCGCCCAGGGAAGCACCCGCAGAAGAGCAAACCTGGCATTAAGCAGCGAGAGTGAGTGAAGCCCTCATCCCAGCCCAGATCAAAAGGCTGCTCTTAAGGTTTGAGAGGGCAAATGGTCCCAAAAGGAAAGCAGCAAGTACCGGGGAAGTCACCTAGACTCAAATAAACAGAAAACAAAGCAGTGATCAGGTGAAAACCCCACGGCAAAAAGGAGTCTATTTGTAAACAGTTTCTTGCTTCTGTGAGACTACCTTAACAGCTGCACAGTGCAATAAAGTTAAAAAGCACATGGAACAAACAAGCTGATTGCACATACGTTCAAGTACTGCAGAACATGAGCTCTTGAAAATACAACTCGATATTGGCTTTGAAGATGTATTTTGGCTCCCTCTCTGCAACTTGTTTTGCTCCCAGTGTTGCAGATGCAAGGATCGTGCAATAAAGTATCTTACTGTTTCAAACAAGTGCAGACAGATTTTTTTCCCACCTGCACATCTTTGTACATCTGCCCTCTAGCTTTAGGGAAGGAGTGGCTGCTTTGAATTCCAAGCAATAAAAGTATCTAAGCCACTTTGTCTATAGAGATTTCAGACAGAAATACCAAAGTTAGTAGAATAGTGTTGCTCTCTACACTTGCAGCCTTTCTGAGTTATGGGTACTTTTCTGTTTATTCACTCATTCATTGCTGTTAACAGGATTTTCAAGCCAACAGCTGAAATGTGCCATCTGCTGGACACACGTGGCCCTAAATAAGAAAATACACAGACTCTGAATTGAGTGGGCAGAGTTCAGTGTGGTTGGTCACTGAAGTACAGGGATGCAGGTCTAAAGAATAACAGTACAGGTTAGATCTCAGGGAGATTTGACACACTCTGCTCAGTAAGTGATCCAGCAAGCACAGATGTGCACAGAAAACTGCGAACAAATATTCAGATGATGTCTCTTCAAAACAGCTAAACCTAAGGCCCATTCAATATTGAATGTATTTTCAAAAACTGGAGCGGCACTTCATCTCCTCAAACCAAGTCAGTAGTGAATAAAGGATAAACAGAGGAGGAAACAGAGTATTTCAGACAGGACAGTTAAAAAGAGAAAAATGTTTATTTTTTTCATTCTTACAGTTACTTTTACAATAATATTACCCAACATAACCCATAACATTTTGTAGTGCATTTGTCAGTTTACTTTTGAACAGGGGCTTTGTCACATGCCCTTGATGATTGTCTTGCCTCCAAGTTCACTACGAAGAAGGAAGCCCTTTACAGGTTTCCTAACAGATGTAAGATGGTTCAGACATTTCTAGACCAAGCCAGAATTAGAATTTCATTTTACAGTGCTAAGACTAAAAGTGTAATTAATTATTAAAGCTTAATTCTATGTAACAAGTTGCACAAGACACAAAGTTCTTTGAAGTCATCCCATAAGAGAAGTACAACAGATAGGCTGCAGTAAGACACTGAGCTCCAGATAGTACTTCATCTCCCGCTCACAAGCATAAAAACCCAACACTTCAGCCATACATTCCCATTAAAAGTCCTACAGGTCCAATATCACTAGCTTTTAGTTCCAAATACTGGAAACAATTACATCAGTACTGTATCTAAAATGGGTACAGAGTAGAGCGCTAACCTGCTACTTCCTAGTCTGGTTTTGATTTTAAAAGGATGCTAGTCTGAGGATGTGTAAAAATATGCATAAATATATATGTATCTACACAAAAGCACAAGAGGATGATCAAACCAAAGAGCTATTTAGCTCAGTCTGTTTCAGAAGGCTAAAACAATGAAAAAAGGGTATAGCTGAAGATAAGAACATGGAACTGCTCCAATAGACCCTTCACAACTTTAGTGGAAGAGTAAGTGGAAGTCAGACTTGGAATAAAATTAGCTTTATAGCTCTTTATAAAAGTTGTTTCCCTTCGTGCCAAATATAAAGTAGAAATAAAAGCCAATATTAAGAAGAAAAAAAAATTCGAGTGTACCTTGATGTAAGCTAAATCTCCAAAGCCACTCTGAGCAAGCTCAGTCTGACTCAAGATTTTCCAAGTTCACATAAATTAAAGTCAGAGCATTAGCAATCCTAGAAAGCAGTAACAAGTTTATTTTTCAGGCTAAGCATCTGGAATTAAAATGATCTTCACTGCTAATGCATACAAGATGAACATGTAAGTAGTTACCGTACAATACCTCTTTTTTATCACTTACATTGCATAGTATGAAACAAAGTGCTGGGGAGTGATGTACGCGCGTATTAAAAAAAGTAAAACTGCTGGACAGAAGTGGAAGAATCAGCAGGTACAAAGTGACTGCAACTTGAGAGTGGAGCTTGTGTGCTCTATGGCCAGCACAGCAATCATTTATTCAGGGAGAAGAGTGAGACATCCCGGAGGCTGCGCAGGCTGGCACTCATGTCCCGCCTCTGCTTTAGGTTGCATCTGCCAGTGTACTGGGTCATGTAGCTCTCAGGCACACGGCTCCTCCGGGAGAGGATATCCACCATGTGGCTCAGCTTCGACCTGATTGTGGAGTAGTGGAATTGTCTCTCTTTATGCAGTTTTTGGAAATATTGTGCCCTGTGACTGCTGGAATATTCAAAGGACCGGAGAGAAGACAGTGAGCCTGTCGAGCTTCCAAGAGAGCACTGGGACGATGATGAAGACAGTGATCGCAGACTAGAGTTTGATACAGCATTTCCAGTCAGAGAATATTCTTCTTTTGACAGCTTTCTATGAAGTAGGGGTGTTTCTGTGCCTTCCTCTTCCTTTGTCTGTGTCACTGCAGTTTTCAGCAAAACTGACGTCTGAGTGCCCGTTGCTCTTGCAGTGACAGAAGCCTGAGTGCCAGTTTCTGCCATGGCAGCACTGGTCTGTGTGGCAGCATTACAGGTGTTCACAGCAGCTGTCTTGTCCCATGGGTCAGTTTGAGTCGATGAGCTTTTCCGTTCCGCCATGGTCACCTGATTGCTGAATGACTCCTCTTCACAGAGGCAAGAATGCCCCAGATTACAAGGTTTTCCTCCACGGCTATCTTCAGCCTGATCTAGTTCTTCCAACAATTTCTTTGGAGTGCTAGACAGTCTGGCAAATTCTGCTCTCAGGTTGCCTTCCACAGTATATTTTTTAGAGGACTCTGGTCTGGTCACCAGGTGATCAAACATCCCACTGTTCCTGCAGCTGGATGGACCCTTAGGGCTGATGGGCAGCGACTGGGCATAAAGAATCCTGAATTGCAGGTCAAAGTGTTCAACCACTTGGCCTGACAACACCAGCAAGTTACTGCTGTTCAGCTTCCCATCAGACCATGTGAAACTATTGAAAACAAACCAAGATTCACAGTTAATCTCCAGTTCATTTCAACACATACAGTTACAGAAAGCAAGACTCAGCTTCGAAATGCTGCATGTAAGGAAGGTACAAACTCGATAGACTATTCACTCCTTCTTCAGGAAGAACTCTATTTAGCCAAGTGCTTTGTTAAGAACAAGTTGTGTAAATCAGTTTTCCAAAGGTGTTTTCACCTTAGTCTCAGTCCCAGTTAGATTCAGCTAGTCCACATGCCCTCATTAACACCAGGCAAACAGCAAAGTTAATAAATCATTCCTGTAGCAAATCCCCCTTTCTACAGCTTCATTGTGCACCAGCAGATCCCAATACTTGCCTGTATGAGCCTGTTGTCACTCTAATGCCATCAATTAACATGAACTTCTCCTTGGCTTTCCCAACAATTTTGGCACCTGACCTCAGGTAGTAAATGTTCCCTGTGAGAGTCCGAACTCTCATCAGCTGGTTCAGAAAAGAAAGGAAAAAGTAACATCAGATTTAAGTTAACTTCCAAAAATGTTTGATTAGCAATTCTACCTAAAATTCTATGCACATTATGGAAAATAGGAATTAAATTTCTTATACAGTCTGTATGTGAGTGCTATCAGCTACACAGTGCTAAATTTGTTAGATTAGCAGTCTGTAGAGAGAACAGCCAGTTCCAGTTAATTACTACCCAGGAAGCTTGGAGTGCTTCCCTGTCCGGAGAAACTCTCACTGGAGGGAACATAAACCTGTCCAAGCCAAGCCATAACACAACCATGTCAGCCTATATTCAGAGCAACTAGGTAAATCACCTGGCACATCATCCAAACATTTCTAAAAGACAGCAACTAGGTATTAGGAAAGAGATCAGATCATACCAGAGCTATACCACCCTTGAGTTTCCCATGTTTAATTTTCCTTAGCAAGCAGTTCCTTGAGCCAAAGACTAAGACTCTTTAAATATTGCAAAATTAAATGCTTGAAAATTGTTGCATCCTCAGGACAGGGATCACAGTCCACACACTCCACCCAGCTCACCAGGCTGGTGCATGACATGGCGGTAACTCCTACATACAGGCAGAACAGGGTGACAGATCTGCCTTTTCTGCATGGTTTTTGCTGAGTTTGTGAGCAGTTTCACACATGGCATTAGAGGCTGTACTGAAAACATGCAATATTGAGCCTTCATTTTCAGGAGCTGAGAAACAGTTCAGAAAATCCCCTTTTAGTTATCAAACAGACAAGGTGTTTTAGCCTCTCAAGGAAGTCTGATGCTTTGTAGAAGGGTTTCTTTAATATGCATAAACTGTACCACAAAAAAATAAAAACAAACCACGTCCCCCCACCTTCAGTACTTACACTTTCCTGCTCAGGACAAACTCCCAAATTGTTGCACATTTCCAAGAAGTGGGGTAGAAATTCCTGGTCGAGGAGGATATAGACAGGGACTTTGTGGTTGTTACAAGCATCCTGCAGGTCAGTGAAGATATCAATATCTGTGAAGGAATCCATCACGAGAGCAATCACCTGTGAGAAGAGTGACAACACTTAGTCAAGGGATTTATTTTACACAAGGTCAGGTCACTGCCTCCCCCAGCCATTTTCTCCTGCTTCTATCACCAGGGTGACATGCACATTTCTCTGCCCTTGGCAAGTTATAAAAGAATCCTATATTCCCACGATGTTTGTGTAAATTCAGTGTGTCGCAGAATGCGAAAGATAAGCCTGAAGAGGATTTTCCTCATGACAGCTTTTGTACATTTTAACATCCTCCTTTCTTACACAGTTCCTTGTAATCTGGTCATTTGGTTACACTGGGAAAACTATCACATTAGAATGAGGAATTCAGACAAGCCATTTCCACACTTGTTCCCCCAGTGTTTCAAACAGCTACAGGAGAATTAGCTCAAATGGCCTCCTCACTGTCACAGCTGAACGTCTCACAAACCCTGACTGATTTCCAGACTCTTACTGAGATTCTATCGTACATCTTCACCAGAAATCCTTCCACCCAACAGTTCTTTAAAGAAGGCAAATCCTAAAACCGGAGGATTACATTTATGAAGAATTTCTCCAGCTAATTCAGAGCCATATCATACACTGTTTTGGTGCTAGAATTCTCACCCTTCAAAACTACATCTAGGTAAGGATACAAAGGATTTAGCTTCATGACTGACTTTTCTATTCTCCTTCTATTAGACCAGTATCAAGGACAATAATTATACAACCTCTGCAGGCACCTGGCACCTGCCCTTATCAGAGAGATGATGAATCCATGCACTGCTGCAACACACCCAAGGTGTATATGCACGAAACACAGCTGCTCTGTGTGTGGCATTGCCTGTACTCAAGGAAACATTTCCCACAGGAACAGGCTAAGCTTTGCATTCCCACCTCTGTCCTCCTGCTCCCTAAGGGATTGGCTCCATTTGGTTGAGTTCTTAGGTGTAACACACACATGCACATGGGTATTTCTAGATAAAGTTACTTTATGCTTGTGCCTCTTGCGTGTCTCCCGTGCTTCTCTCCACACAATCACTTGTCTAAGCACTAAAGAAAAATAGATTTAAAAAAAAAAAAAGATGCTTTTGACAAGACCAGACAGGTAAGAAAGCAACCCCTCAAAGCAAAACAATTCACACTAAACTCTTGGGAACACTGATGCCTTCATGTGACTATTGAATTCACAGCACATTTGAGTTCTAATCCCAGCATTAGCAGCCGAGAAAGAAATAGTTTTACTGAAAATGTTTAGAGGAAAGAGAAACCCCTTTTCTCATCCATTCAGGATAGCAAAGGCAAGACAGCAGCTGTGTACCCTTCAGTCACTTAGCTAACTGCATTTGAGTGAGCTGGGAAGGAACTACACAGCATCTGTAGTTTCCCCATTCTTCGCATTAACTTGAAGAACTCCAAGATGATTAAGCAGTATCACACAGCATCTGATATTCAGTAAACTTTAGGGTGTCAAAAATTTCTCTCACGTCCACAAAAACGCTCCCTGGATCAGGCACATACACAGCTGGGGCAGGAGCAGCTTGCCTGGCTCTCAGCTCAGTGCAAAGGAAGGTGCTTCGCAGGATGCTGTAAACAATGATATTACAAACAAGTATGGCTTTTTAGAAAAACAAATATGGAGTTTATTCGAGTCTCAGTACCATTAGGCTGGTCTCATCTACCTCATAAGGATCGTTTGAGAACAAAGCTTTCTCTGTGACCGTTTCTGGCAATGAGCCCATCGGTCATGTCATCCTTACACACCCTCTAAGCCTCTGTCCTCGGAAGGGACCAGGGAATAAGCTCAGTTGCTGATTGAGGGTGTGCGTGTGCGAGCACGTCACGCACAGAGAGGGGTTGCTTCATCTGGCCACCCAAAGAGGAAGCTACACATTTAAATTTTAGCTAAGCCAATTGAATGGCTGCTAAAGGGAAGTGTGGTTCCCTCCTGGGGATGAGTTGGAGGCTAGAAACTCAGGGGGTGTAATGAGTTACAGAAAACAGAAGTGACTATGCCCCATGTTTTTTAAGCCACACTCTGCATCAGAACAAAAGCATCCACTTCTGTAGGAGGAAAGTCCTGCTAAGGGCAGGTCAGCACATCACTTGGGGACAATTAATGAGCTAAAGAAATATAATCATAGTGTTATCTCTGTAGATAACCCTCTTTTATAAGGGAAGCTTTTTCTGTCATACCCTTTGGGGGACAGTGAGAGATTTCTGTGAGTGAATCTGTCTGGCAGAGCCCATCAGTGATGAACCTGGAACAGGAAACCTTCCGCTCCGAGCGAGTGCGGGATCGGCTGGATACAGCGGGTGTTTGCCCATGGCAGCCGCGCGGCACTGGGGAACGGGGAGCTCTTGGCCCATCCCCTCCGGAGCGATGTAACCGGGAAAGGGGCAGTTCGGAGATGCACCATACAGAGTGCCACTCCTCGGATATTTTCGAGCTTGTCCTTTTCACGAGGCATTCTCTGCTCGACAGGGGCGGTTTCAAAGCCGCCCGGCCTTGCTCGGTGTCCCGGGAAGGAGACGCTTACCGGCGCCGGGCACTCACCTGCCGGGCGGAGCGGATCTGCCGCCGCACCGCCTCCTTGCAGCCGTAGATGCTGCCGCTGTCCCCGTAGCCGGGCTGGAAATGCGCCTCCACCCGCGTCAGCCCGCGGAAGGCGCCGCTGGCGAAGCCCGGCCAGCCCAGCTCCAGCGCCGGCGGCTCCAGGTCCGAGCGCTCGGGGAAGTAGGTGAGCGAGGAGGCGTCGAGCGAGGCGCCGGGCGAGGACTGTGCCGCCGGCTCCGGGCCCGCGGCGGGCGGCAGCGCGGCCCGCGCGATGTCCTGCACCTCGGGCTCCGACAGGAACGGGGGCAGCCGCTCCCGCCGCAGGAAAGCCCGCAGCGCCTCGGGGCCGCCCGCCACCAGCTCCTCCAGCGCCAGGCGCTGCGCCTCGCTGTACGGCCCGGCCGGCGGCGGCCAGCGCCCCGCGCCCTCCTCCAGCCACTGCGACGAGTTGGCCATGGCCGGAGCGGCCCCGCTCCGCCCGCCGCTCCTTTATAGCGCGTTTGAATCCAAACAGCGCCGCCGCCACTGGCGCGTCCCGCCCGCCCCGCGCCGCGGTTGGCTCCGGGCAGCGCCGGCACCGCCTCCGCCCGGCTGGGAATGCGGCGGGAGCGGGGCGGGACCCGCCGCGCTGGGGTCGGGAAACGCAGCCGCGGGACTTCCCCTGCTGGGGGGACAGCCCTGCCGTCCCTCCGGGGCGCTTTCGCCTTCGCGCGAATGAACCCCCCTGAGAAGGACCCTCTTAGTGATGCACTTTAACAAATGCTGGACCTAATGCCCCGGGCATGTCCCAGTCCAGGAAAGGCAGGCACAGCTTTGGCCCTCCCGCTTGTCCCCAGCACGATTTACCGCTATTTCACAGAATATTCTGAGGTAGAAGAGACCCACAAGCATCAGCAATGTCCAGTTCCCGTCCCTGCACAGGACACCCCCAAGAATCCCACCGTGTGGCTGAGAGCGTTGTCCAAACGCTTCTTGCGACCCGCACTCGCTGAAACAAAAAGTTACACTCACCCACTGCCCAGATTTACTCTTCCAAGACATCCTCTGGCTGTACTGACAGCTGAGAGAGAGGCAGAGACATTTAGCAGAGTCCCAAAACGTCAACCGATTAAAAACACCTCAGTGGCATTTTTGTATTATTAAAAGAAATTTAATATAATTTTTAAATTAAAAAATTCCATCTCTCTATTAAAGACACTGAGTCAGGTGCTAATACTGTCAGACATACCCTTTTGGCATGAGTTTTACATAAAGTTTAAGATTTTATGCATTGCTTCAATATGTTAAACCATCTTCATACTTACAGTAGCAATAAAGTCAATTCCATAAATATCAAATATCCTTTTTTTAAAAAAGTTTAAATATATTAGACTCTGATTGCCAAAATGCCATTTTATACACAAAGCTGCTAATACAATATACAGTTCTTACTTTTTTTTCCACATAAAATACATTTCATCAAGTTTTATTTGTACATCGTTTACTACTGATCGACGGAATTATGAGTTATTGCAGAAGGCTTGTCATCATCTGTTAATGTCCTGTACACACAGCAGCCCTGCCAAGCTGTACCAGGGTTATCCACATTCCTGCATCCACTCTCACACTGCAATCTGAAGGCTGAAGACAGCAGTGGCAATACTAAGGCTGCATCTGCACTGTTTTAAAACCCCTATCCCCCCTTCAGCTGCAGGTGGAGATCATTGCATTGGTATAGCTTTGGGAACAGGTATCTTGAGCAGAGTCTCCTCTACCACAGCTTCCACAGCTGAAATAAAGCAAAATATTCTAGGTTGTACTTGTGCCATGGCAGATGTTGCCTGGAAAGCCCAGTGGTACTTGAATTGTGTGAGGGAAATGAGAAGTCCATTAGCAGTTTGGCCAACATGAAAACAGTAGAATAAGGGTGAAGAACAACCAGGGACAATGTTCTGTTGTACAGTCACAGGCAAAACAGAACAAAAGAAGTAAATATTAGCTGTATTCTGTAATAAGAGGTGAGACCTTGCTGCTACGAGTGTGTTCTGGATTCTGCTTGTAGACAACTAATACAAAGTAGTCAACATGATTTGTTAAAATAGAATGAAGACCCTGTCATTTCCTTTAGTGTATTTAGGAAGAGAGAAGTGGTGATCACGAGAGAAACTGAAAGAGCAAATAATAATGTCAAAATCTGGCATGCTGTGAACTTTTATCCCCTTGCAAACAGCCTAAAGTTAAAGAACAACACTAGATAATCACCACAAAGCTTCCAGAGATGGGTTACCTTTAGCAAGCACGATAAGGCACAGAAATACCCAGGTGTAGGGAGAACACCTTCCAGCAGTTCGTCCATGGCTCACTGGAGATCAGTGCTATTGCTTCCCTGGTTCGATAGTCCCTTTTCTATGGAATTGCCGATCTAGTTTCAGCAGAGAAGATTTGGGTAATCAGAGCTCCAAGACTGAAGCAAAAGGGCACTATACAGAAATTGTAATGCATTTGGGAGCTTGTAAGTGATTTCAATCCCACGAAATAAGACTCTGCTCAATAAACTCCAGAATTCATTGCCTCCACTGTGTATTACACCAAGTCATTATCACTGTTACCCTGACATGCTCTTCTCCTTCCCTACCAGGAGTTCCTCATTCACATGGTTCTTCAACCACACCTGCAAGATGGCACAGAATCACATCAGCTACAGTCAGTTCTTCCCAAAAGTGGGAAAGTTTTAAGATTCAGGAGCACCAAAGAAGTGAGACTAAGTGGGCTGAAATCGCATCACAAATCCAGGTCTGATGTCAAACAGATCCCAGCAATGGAACTTAAGCCCTTATGTAATATTTCAGTGCTGTGACTTTCTTGGCTGACAGAGACATTATTTTGAAAGACACCTTTTTTTCCATATAAAAAATGTCTTTCAACGTGGAATGTAAAGCTGCTCTCAGCAACCAGTTTGTTTGTTAGAAACAGTATGACTTCAGCACACAGGAAGATGTGGTGAGCAAAAGGGTTATTCTTGTGGAGTTCTGCTTGCAATAGACCCATCACTACATTCACGTTCTGAAATCTTTGCACAGTCTGAACAATTACAACCTTTGGGTTACTGCCCTTTAAAACACATAGATATCAAAACCCCGCTGTTGTTGTAACATTGCTAAATTTTACAGTAAAAGGCCTTATTCCTAGAGTGAAATACCAATGGAAACAAAAAAGCTGTTAGTCTAAAATGAACTGGTTTCCCACAGTTTTAATGCTTTAGCAACTCTCAGTGAAAGCAAGCCTTAAACTACTTCATACTATTGCATTTCGTAATCACCTTTTCATTTCCTTGGAGTTAGATAGGATTCAACACAGTTGATAGCACAGAATTGCTCTGAGAAGGACAAGGGCCCAACTCCTCCTTCGCTGGGAGGGAAGGCAATCCTGGGCCCAAAGTTTGCACCACTTACAATCCAGAGGAGAGCGGCACCAAAATCTGTTACAGTGAATTCAAAAATCTCATTAGGATGGATGTGGAGAGACAAACCTCACCACTGTGGGAGAAGAGAGGCACCTGAAAGATCTCCCCTATGTTCCATAATAGCCAGGCCACACTTGGTGTTATCACAGAAGAATTTACTCAGGGTAACCAGACGACCCACTGTTAAGCATGCACAGATGCAGTAAAGTCTCTCCAGTTACCAAATCATCCTCTTTCTACTAGAGAATGACTTTAAAAATCCCTTAAAGTCAATTACAAGAAGTATTTTCTAGTCTCATATTTAGCATATGTATTTCAACAATGGAGGAAGCCCAACTTCTCTGAATGCTTCAAACCCTGCCTTTAACAGAAGTTTTAAATTAATTGGGTCAGCTGCTGCCATATTCTTATTTGCTCCTAAGATTGGTAAGGAAAGGAAGAGTAAACTGTCAGTCTGGTAATGACCTCACAGGTCCTGAAGTGTCTCCTGCCCAGTGTGGCTGTGGTGGTGACACACAGCCACCGCTGCTGCCTTGAGAAGCCCAGAGCCCTGTATTGTAATATATCCAGCCCCAGCAATGGGCTAGATTTGATGGGAGCAGAGGGTAGCACTTAACAGTCACTGGCAGCCTAAGTCAACTCTTTATAGCCTAGAAAAAAGTTAAGGCTGTGAGGATTCCCACAGAGGGAATGTACATGTGAAGGGTAATATTGATGTCTTACAGCTGCCAGATAAAAAGAAGATGGGTGGAAGCCGCATTTGCTGTTGCTTGGCTGAAGTACAAGTACACGAACTGGATTGAATCCACTGACAGCCTACAGAGACCCAAACAGGTTTATATCTTCAGAGTCTGGAATTTAAGCTGCCCAAGAAGACAAATATTTATGCAGGCAAAGAGTTACAAGTGCAACAGCCCCTCCGTGTAGAAAAGAGGTTGAAGATTTACAGTTACTGCTGTAGATACAACTGAACTGTGGCCAGTTCCTCGGAGCTGTGTCCCACGGGGCACTCTCCTCTCACCTCCCCCCCGGTACACAAAGCCTGAACTCGCTGAGAAGCCCATGCTAGTGTTTCTCAGGTGGTCTCTCAGAGCTCACATGGACTGCACCAAAACAGTGTGGTGTGCCAGCGGCTCCACAGCAGAGAGGCTTTGCTAAGCACTGCACGGTGCAAGGCAACTCCTTCAAACACAGAGGCATTTAAACCTTCTGCTGACAGCTGCTAACCACTGCTGGTGGAAGTGGTTTCAGTATGGGAGCTGGAAAACAGACAAAAAAAGTCTCCTGTCCTGCTGCAACATTGAACTACCATAGCAATGGTTTAACAGTTATTTACGAGCCAAAGACTGCAGGTTAATGCAAGTGTCATCATACCTATGGGATTAGAAATGCTTTCATGGTGTTTCTAGATTAGTGTTGACAAGCCTTTCCTCCTCACCCCTCCCGAGCCCTGTGGTTCTGGAAATCCAGAAAAAAATCAGATTGCAAAGCATACTGCCCCTAGTATCTGTGTTGAGCATAGAGTAAACAAACAGAATCAATAGGAAAGTGAGATCAACAAAAGTCTTTTCAGTTTTAACAAATTAAAGAGTCTAAATAGTACAAATAAGGTTTTTTTAAATTACTTATCCCAGTATAGACCTTTGCCAGTATTTTATTGCAGTAAAATTCTATTGCCAGGGCCCCTTATTGCAACATCAGTTTTAAAGCCTCATGAGTGAAGCCTGTTCCAGGAAAAGTTCTGCTTCAAACCTGAAGGCAGCCTGCAGTGACGAGCTGATACGAGCAGAACAGGACCCAGCCAGTGCACAGTTCTTGATGGTGAGCTGTCACTGCAAGGAGATAATACCTTGCAAACTTCCTCAGCACAGCATCTACACTTCCTTGTTGCTCAGGCCCAGGAAGTGCTGGATCCAGCTGAATGGAAAACAGCTCTGTCCACTCTTGCAAACCCCATGAGGGGGTTGACCTCCCCTCCAAGGTATGTGCATCACCCAAGGGTGAAAATGCAGGTCTGAACTGTCACCTTCCAGCCCCTTGGTGGCTTGCAGCAAGAGGCTCAGATGCAAAGATTTTAATCCAGATCCTTTCTTTGTTCCAAGGCATCTCATGACTTCCCAAGGATGGGGAGGCAGTGCATGATACCTTTTCCCCCTGGGAGCAAGATGAGGGAGACTCCTTTTTACATCATATTGATGTCCCTTCCTCTCCTAAAAGCCTTGCTCCACCTGCATTACTCATTCAGCTGCAATGTAAGTAATTGGCAGGGTAAAGTACAATTCAGGATGAACGAGGCTGCCACAGTCAGGATGTCCAAAACTAAATTCTCCCTTTGGAAAGCAAACAATCTGGCAGCTGAGATAGATCCAACCAGCCCACTCACATCTTGTTTTCTCTGGGGCGAGACACAGACAAGACTAGGAAATTCTGCAGCACCCGTGCACCTTCTCTTCCATTTCCTCCATGGGAGCTTTGAATTTCAAGAGGGGCGGATCGCCACTGGACACTGTGTAATACACTGAGGTCCCATTTGAGCTGTAGGGAGAAGTCCTGGATTCGATTAAGTGTGACTTGGCCTCACCCACATTCTCAGCAACTCCTGCCATGCCACTGCTGAAGTGGGTGCTGAGGAAAGGGTGCTGGAGGAGTTTGGCTGCAGCCCGCTGCCTCTTCAGTTCTGAGAGCGTTTGGTGGTTGTGCTCCTTGTAGGTGCCCCAGAACTGCTGGGTGTCAGGGAGCCCAGGGCTGCCGTAGGGCAGCACGTGGCCAGGGTTACTGCTGGGCTCAGCGTGCATGCTCCAAACGTCCCCGTTGGAAAAGGTGTACTGGTAAGGGCTGGCAGATGCCATGAGTCCATTCTGGAGTGGGATCTCAGAGTCACACTGGGTGCTTTTGTTTGCTAACTCTGGAAGGAGGGAGGAGTTCTCCAGCACTGAGTTCTGGAACAAGAAGACATGAAAGAAGAGCATCTTCCACTGTCCCCCATAGCAGGGTTTATCCCTGTGACAACTTCCTAAGCCTACTCCCATTCAGCCTTTCGACCAGACAGGTACTGCAGCACAAACACTGAATTCACCCACTAACGGGGCCCTATAATGCTGTGAGCCCTAACCAGGTACATGGAACATTAAGTCAGAAGCACTCACAAAAGAAATAACAAATAGATAAGCATATTAATATAATATGATAGTAACTGAATTGAAAACAAGTAACTGCAAAGCAACTTTACAATTCTTTTGTGATTACCACTTTTAGCTGTAAAGAGAAATGCACACACCGTCTTTTCAGAATCTCTGGTTCACCAGGACCTTATCACAAAACTATTTATGCAGCTGTAAATCCAAAACAGTCTTTCCACTAGAGAGGGTTATCCCAGTTTACGCCAAATGAGAATTAGGTCTTTTGCTTACATCTGATGGATGAGGTCTACAAATTTTTTAGCCACCTTCAACCCCGGGGCACCCACTGCTACTGAACCTGCACTACCAGCCCCCCCCCAGTGACTCCCATAATAGAGAAGAGATTCCTTACAGGGTCTGTGTTCTCCTGGTCAGACCGAGTCTCCCCAATTTCTCCAATGAAACCCGAGTTTCTTCCTTCTTCTGCTGCCCCCAGCTGCTGCCAAACGATGGCCTCTTTCTCACACTCCTTCCTGTAAAGGTTTGTTCGGTCCGAAAGACTGGCCCTCCTCACCACCTTCCTGTGGGACAGGGACAAAGGGCATCAAAGCTGTGAGCAGGACATGACAATTCCCCTTACTCCATAATCCCTCTCACCTCCACCTCACACTTCACAGCCTCTCCCTCTGGAACGGAACATGGATTTAGCTTCCTGGCACCCACACAAAGCGAAGGCACTAGTGTGGATATTAAAGGTGGGAGGAATTTTAAGGAGTTTTAAAGTAGCACTGCAGATCTGCATTAAAGCTCATACAGCTCAATGAACAATCTGCTCTGCAACCAGTGGAGTAAAAATACAGAGGAATGGCCCACAGGCTGTTTAGGGAGTTTTGTGGTCTGCTGGACTGCTTTGGTGTCTAGTAAATGTTTTATAAAGACCTGTGCAAACTGAATCTGGGCGCAGTATCTTGGCCATGCCATTTTATTATTGAGAAGCTCAAGTTAATCCACTTGAAGCACTGACTGTCCAACACCAGTCCCAGTGGTTTAATAGAGTAAATTCTCACCGCTTGGTCCTCTGCTCAGAGCAGTTATTAAACCACAACAGTGCAAAGCCATTTCCCCCCCAAGAAATAGCCTGTCTTTCTAGTAAAACAGCCACATTTCAAGGGAGCTCTGCTTTGAGCAACCAAAGTCAGCTTCTGCCTCTCAGAGTTTGTTCAGAAAGGACAGATGGGGTCCTGCACACCCACCACAGGGTGCTCTGCAACCACCCCTGGGTGGCCAAGCCAATGCACACTGGGTGACCTGCAGGAAGAGCACAACTCACCCCCGGCTGCCCGTGCTGGAGGTCCTTCGGCTCAGGGAGGATTTATGCCTCATCTGAGACTTCATGATCACATCGTGTTTGTGTTTCAACTCCAGAAGCAATACTTTGAATTCCTCCTCTTCACACAGATCTATGGCACACACAGACCAAGCCCTTAATGAGACAGTTCCCATGTGGTACCGTTGACACCATGTTACTAACTGTGCCTTCCTAGTTAAGACACCCATGTCTTACAGTTGTATTCAGCAGGGAGACTCCCAAGCACAGGTTCAGAGGGATAACATTAGTGGAAACACACAGGAGAAAGACTTGGTGCTTGAGAAATGCCTTCTTCCTTGTTTTTATGTGCAGGAAGAAACACTTCGAGAACCAGTAAAGCAGGAGCTTCAAAACTTCAGTCCCAGTTACAGTAACTGAAACTTTGATTCTAAAGACATTCAAGAAATTACATTAATGCTTCTGAAGGCACCATGTGAAGACTCCAGCCATTTCTTAGGCATTTCTTTTTTTAAGCTTAGTAAACTCACCTATTGGCATCTCATCCAAAGATGTTCTGGCACTCAAACTAGCCCCATGGGACACAAGTAACTCAGCCATCTGCATCTAAAGAATGGAAAGAGAGAAAGTCAAGTTGACAGAGCTATTTTAGGCAATTTAGGCTTTCCTTCCCAAAGCTGAAAAGTTGGAATAAGATCAGAAGCAATGGCATGTGTGCTCAGCTTGCGTGAAATTATTCTGGTATGTGTGTGATCTTAAACAATGTTCCTACCATTCACCTGCACAGACAGACATACTCTGTCTGAACTTTCTCAGCAACCAGTTCTTTTTGGAACCCAAAGGACTGATGCTGTCCAGAGAGCCCAGCCCCAGCACAGATTTCTTCCATTTGCAGAGTACTACACAATTTGCCCAGGCAGAAAGAAATGTCACCCTCATACATGAGGCTTGCAGCAAAATCATTACCTGTCCCCAGATTTGCCCAGGCAGAAAGAAATGTCACCCTCACACATGAGGCTTGCAGCAAAATCATTACCTGTCCCCAGAAAGCAGCAGCGTGAAGAGGTTCCCAGCCGTCCCAGTCCTTAACGTCCAGGCTCGCCCCCTGGTCAAGAAGGACTTCAGCTGCATGCAGATAACCATTGGCTGCAGCTATATGCAGCTAGGAGATAAGGAACAGAACATGAACCAAGGATCATGGATGGCTCTATAGACCAAGTTTCAGTGGATTTTCTTGAATAATGTTTGAGCCTAGAGCTGAACAGGCAGCACATTTCACAATTAGCAGATGCTACCAGGTCAAAAGCAGGTTGTTCCTGTTACTAAAACTCAGTATTACCTGCATGTAATTCTGTTTGGAGGGGAAACTGCTCAATATTTCTTAAAATAACTTACCTATATGGGTTAGAAAAATAATGTTTTCACATTTTAAATCAAGGGCTTTTAAGTACTTCCTAATCTGCAGGGGAACAGCACAATCAAAATGCAAGCCTGCAATGGAGTACATCATCCACTGTGCACCCTGCATTTCTCATGCCAGGAGAATGTCTCCTCTTCCCCACTGAAGTGCTGTGGATGTGATTTTTTAATCAAATTTACAGCCTGCTTTAGTCAGGACTCTCTCCGTGCAATTGCACTTCCACTCACACTATTATTATTTTCACCACTTGAAAATCAAAAACATTTTACAACTTTGCTACTTTTAGTTAGGGGAATATGATTTTTCAGGTATTGGCTTCCAACTACAGCCACCACTTCGGAGACATCAGAAACAGTTTCCTTTAGTCCCCCAACTTAATGTCTCTGAAGATTTTCATATTTGCCATCTGCTGTTGCATGTCTGAGCTAAACACTGACCTGTGCACTGGTCTGAAGGGATTAACTGCACCCAAAGATCCTCCTATTTCAACTGTGCTGAAAAGGAGAATTAAAGCTTATTTTCAAAAAATTTCCATGTGGATTCCACCACACAAAGTTAAACCCTCATCTGGAAATAAATTCTGATGCTTTTTGGCAACTCAATTAATTTCTACATAAATTTTATGCCACTTAGTCATACCTTCTAGAGGTCACATGAATTAGCAGGGAATCACTTTGGGGTGATACAAAAGGGGAAGCCAAGAGATCTGATTAAATTTATGTATATAATCCTTGTTAAAGGGAAAAAGGTGTTGAAAAAATAAGCTGCAATAAAAGCTTCAGTCATCCAAGGTTATCTTGGAGGGAGCCTGCCCTCCTCTTATGCTTCTGGTATATGCTAAAGGTGACATTTAGATTAAGAAACCTGAATGCCACAGCGTGGTCATCAAACAAATGAACCAAATGCCTGTATATCAGTTAGGTCTGGACCCAAGCATCAAACAACCAAGGTTGTATGAAACTCCCAACACATATGACCTCATTACTGAATTTCCCCTAAGCTGGGACTGCTGTAACCAATGATTTAAGAAACACATTTGCAGGTGAAAAAGAAGGGAACAGGACTAGGACTGTTCAGCCTTCTTGGTACCTGTCCAGTCAAATCAGATGGCAGCTTGCTTTGTGCTCTACACCTGTCCTGGCTCCTCTCCTCTGCCAGGGGCCGATGCCATCCTACCTGAGCAAACACAGCAGCCATTGACTCCTTGTGAGCCAGATGCTATGCAAAGCAGAAAGGAGGCAGAAGGTCTCCAGAGCTCCCAACACCAGATCCTGCTCCCATGAAAACCAGAGGACTCTCACGCCTCTTCTGTGGGAGTCTGATCAATCTACAAGACTAGTGAGAAGCAAGAGGTCACTGGGAGGTCTTTCAGTCCCACTTCCCTGGAGGTTAGCAGATGTTTATGTTCTGCAACTCCTCACTGTGGGATTTCTCCTCTCAGTGACTTGTACATGTTGATTTTGTATAACTCCTGCCCCAGGGCAGATTTCATAACCTCTGGGCTGAATGAAGGCAAAACTGAAGCTGCTGCAGTTTCACTCACCAGTGTAGCACCTTGGGCATCAGTCCTGTTCAGGTCTTGTCCAGTCGCAAGTATGTCATGAATGTCACAGATCATGACCTGCTCTGGAGCAGCACGCATCTCATTGATCCTTTCCTGTGTAATCCCTGTTAACATTCCAGTTAGAGGAGAGTTGGAAAGGGTTTTATCTCCACTTCTTGAGTAAAATCAGACTTATGATCCTGGTTGATATGACCTCACACCCTTTTCAGAAGATATGTAGCTGAGGGGACCTGTCTGCTGTCCTTCACCCTCATGATCTTTAGGAATCAGAGTAACTAGACTCTGAGTCTAGTTCCAAGAGTCAGGTTCCAAGAAATGATGCCAGCAGCAGCTCTCTGCTTTTCTCCAGAGGCCAGTCAAGAGCTGACAAACAAGGTAATTTTTAGTACCACATTGACCCGGTTTTGTATTTTACGTGAACTCAATCTCCTTACCTTGATAGGCCATGCAAGTCTCAATGACATCCAAAGTTGGCTCATCTTCACAGAGGTCATACGGCATGTTACCATCTGCATTTACTGCCAACAAGTCTGCTCCACTGCAAGAGGAAACCCAGTTACATGAGAAAAGACCTCAGATATCCTAGAGCAGGCAGTGCCAAACACTGGGATAAATGCTTAGGAAAAACTGACAGGGGTTTAATAGTTGCCCAAATGCCACCAAGACACATATGAGATAAGAAAGATTTGAAGCAAAGCCAAGGAGCTATGAATGGGGAAGAGTAATTCCAGAAGTGGATGGAAGGCAGCACACTACACCTCCTTCATGGGCCAGTAATGCACTATGTTGGTCCACATCTGCTCCAGTTTTATTCCCCCATCCAAAGATTTCCTAAACCAAGTGGGACCATCCTCTAAGGGATGTCCAACTGCATCCTCTTCTCTCCTTCACTATACAGCCAAAGAAGGATCAAATTTTCAACACTCATCTCCCAGATGACAGCAGCACAGGGAGAAGTCTGCCTCCCTGAGAGAGAAGCAGCAGACACTGCCGTGCAAGGCAGCAAGTTAACACTTCCAAAGCACTGTCACTCTGGGAAATGGAGGAGAGGGCTCCATACAGAGCCAGAACTATCTGTTCCAGGTAGGATTCACAGCAAGTGCTCACCAAATGGCACAACTCAAAACACACCTGGCTTCCTCCACCTTGCTGGTAAGTCTAGAAAAGACCTGAGATTTAGGGCAAACACTTGAGCTTTAGAGCCTTGGTGAAATCAAGTGGAAGGTCCAGTGCAAGCACCTGTGTCACCACTGGGGAACCAATGCACTACAGGAAGCAAACTGGTTATTAATTATGACCCAGTAAGACAGGTCACAAAGTTCACCCAGGTATTTGAACTATACAAACACGCTGCTGCCCTTCTACAGCAGTGTCTCCTTGACTGGGGCTGGAAGATCTGAAGTGGTGTTTAAGGGCTTGAAGAGGTGGACCCTTGCTGGCTGCTCCTATTTCTACCCACCCAGCGACCATGGTGCCACACGCACACACAGACACACCAAAATACAGGCAAAAAGCAGCAAATTTTGGCCCAGTCTCCATAAAATTCATGAAACTGAGCCAAGCCACCTGGGGTTTTATTCTGCCTCCTCAGCCTTTCTGCTCTTCCTCCTCCACCCCCTTATCCCCCAAGCAGGAAGGAGTCCCACGAATAGCCTGAAAGCAGGGAATAATCAGCACCACTGCAATCTCACAAGGTACTGAACAGTCTCAGTTTCCACCCACAAGCAGCTGTGGTAGAATCAGATCTGCAGAAAGGACAGAGGAAAAAAAGCCACCTACTGCTGGATGAGGATCTTCACCAGGTTGATATGACCACATGTAGCTGCTGCATGCAATGGAGTCCACAGCTCATTGTCCTTGGCATTGACATTGGCTCCATGGTTGAGGAGAAGTTTGACTATGTCTTCATAGTTGTCTATGCAGCACTGGTGAGGAAGAGATACAGATAGATTGGGTTTTTTAGACTTTGGGAAGATGAGGGCTTATACCTACTCAGCTGTAAAATAATAAAGGGTACCTGGATGTGGAGACCTACTTTATCCTGCACTGTTTGGCAACAAGCAACTCCAACAGAGTTAAACAGCAGCAGGTCAGAAAGGCACCATGCAGAACACCTACACTGGGCAGACCACAGGTCACTGGTGTCTTACACAGCCTTCTGGTGTGGGGGCAGAACCAGCAGGGAATAACAGCAAATATGCTCACAGCTTCTATTCCACTGAGTCTTCCATATTCAAGAGAAAACGTAAGAGAAATTCAATGTAACCAGTTTAACCACATACCAAGGGATGAGCTGACAAGTTGACATTCCCTTTTCTTAGGGGAAATCCCACACACTGGCATTTGATTAGTAAAAGTCTTCTCAACAGTTCACCACTACCTACCACAGTTATCTGAAGACGTGCAAATTGGATTCCTAGAATTATGAGCTACTTCACAGGGCACCTTTCATTTCCTGAAAAAGATCAGCATTCTCCCTGCATTTACAGCATAGTCCCAGAGGCAGCCAGCAAGAAAAGCCTCAGCCTCTTTCCTTTGGAGAAGGTGGAATTTGCTCTTTGATCCACCTTGTGCTCACATCTTGACATGAATGTGCATGTGATCAAGACACTCAAGATTCCCATAAGATTCATTCTTGTGCAAGAAGCCTGTTTGTGGTCTGTGTGTTACTGCTGACCCACGCAGGAGACTCACAGCTCAGCACACAGTATGGGCCACTAATGGGGCTGAATTCCAACCCACAACAAGCATTTTAGCAACTGAGTGACAAGGATCCTTTATGTATTTCTATTTCTGTTCACTATTTGTACATGGAAGTGAGGTTAAAATCGTTCCTGTCACACAGCAAAGTTACCACAGAAGCATAATTGAGCCCTTCACTGGAAGCCACTGGTACTGGGCAATACTGTTTGCTTAGGGGCTTCTCTCTGTTCAGGGATCCAATTAATTCTACTGCATGTAAAGCTCCCAGCTTAACTCCCAAATGCACCTTTACAATAACCGATCCTTGAGTGGGCAAGATGGGATTCTCCATGGCCTCAGTACCTAGGCTGGGAAAGCAAAGAGGCTGTCAGCATGTCTCTGTGTGCAGGATAACATCTCTTTGGAGAAGTGCTGCTGGTAGTGGTGGGAACCTTTTGTTCTTGTTGGAGCTAGTTTGCATTTTTAAACAAACACCTCATCCAGTTTTGAAGAGAGCAGGCAACTTGCAAAAGAATCCAAAATCCCAAGTCAGCGGAAGCATTTACAGCAGGCACTAATGGCGAAAAACCCCTGAGTGTCTGTTCCAGAAAAACCCCTGAGTGTCTGTTCCAGAAAAACCCCTGAGTGTCTGTTCCACCCTCGGAGCGTGTGACAACCACGCCACTGTTGTTCCCTGCAGCAGAGGCGGCAGCTGCCAGGCACGGCCAGTCCCATGGGCCTTGGGGAAGAATAGAAAAACCCTTATGGGATCAGCACAGAGGCTTCGAGGAAGGACACAGACTTACACATCACTATTGCAAATCTGTATTTTAGTGGTGAAGTCCATGGGCCTGCAGTGAGCAGCAGCAGGCTCTTCAAGTGCCCTGTGCATCATTTATTTAAACTACTTTCAAAACTTGCAGATTGACAAGGTCTCTAAACTTGAGTTAATCTGCTTTAAGAGTTTACAGCCCGCTTCTACAAAGATTAAAGGGTGGGAGAAATACTGTTCACGTCAGAAGTCCAGCCCCGATTCCCAAGCTCAAAGTCTGGGATACAGAAAGAGAAGGGTTTGATCTCAGTTTGCTCCCCAAGAAACTGGATTACCAGCACAACATAGTGAAGTTTCACTGCTTTAACTGAGCAAAAAAATGAAATACAGAAGGTCTCTCTGTGTAACCTGGACAGGTCTGCCCAGAGGACAGCAGGAAGGCCCGATGGTGTGGAGCAGCAGGGAGCTGTGACCTCCTCCCACACCTCACCTGATGCAGCGCAGTTAATCCATCCTCATTGCACAGGTCAGGGCTGATGTTGCTCTTCAGCAAGTAACATACTGTAAGGGAAGGACAGAGAGGAGTCAGAGCAGTAATCCTAACACACCTCTTGCTCTCAGCCAACCCACCAGGGTGTTCCAATGTGGGCAGAGCTCCAGGAGACACAAGCTCAACACTGGCCTGTCACCACAGTGCCAGTGAGACAAGAGCCTTTTTGGATTTATCCAGCAGAGAGCACCAGCATACAATTTTCCCCCAACTTCCTTCCATAGGAGACTGAATACATCTATAATTTTCATACAGTAGTGCTGGAACAATCTCCATTTTTACCTTGTGCTTTGCAATGTCCGAGTGCAACCTCTGCACTCTGCAGCCCAGGAGAGCTCAAAGGCAAGTGGGGATTTTGGGGTCCTGAGTTACGGCCGTAGGAGAGATTCCTCTCACTGTGAGAGGGATTAGGTCTTGCCTCAAGAAGTTATCTATCCATGCTGACAAACCACATACATTCAGGGCCTCGTCACATCTAAATACACCACGGTTGCTTTGGACACTTCACTTGAGCTGTTGGATGTTTGGAGAAAGTTTCCCAGAGGCTTTATTTTTCAATTGCTGCTTTGGGGGGAAAGGATAAGATTTATTCCATTAAAATGCAAATTTCTGAAACATATGAAAAGTCGTTAGCCCTTAGGTGAAAAATAAAGTTCGCTCTGAGGTACAGATCTTGCACAGGGCAATAGCAACAAATCTGGTAGAGGATATAAATTAATTGCAATGCCAGAAACTCTTCAAATTCAACACTGCTGACAGATCTTGATCCCTACCCATCTTTTGTTGTTTACTTGCTCACTCCCTGCTTTTTCTCCAGAGAATTCACTATCTAATGCTTTTCCTACCTCAAATGTCACTGACAGCACAAGCACAAGCCAGAGGTTCATAATCATGTCCCTGGGGCCAGAGTAGCAACAGATATTCATGTCATATCTTATTTGATGGCAGGGACGTAAGCACTGAGTGAAACCAGAGCTGCAAAATAAGGAACACTGACAGAGCTAAAAGGGCAATAACCATCCCCAGAGCTGGCAATCGAAACCACTGCAAGCCTGATCACTCCAAAGCATCCTGCAGCCTCTGATCCCTGTCCCACTGTCAGAGGGAGCTCTTTTCCCAGCACATCCACAGGAAACTCAGTTGCAGGGCTATCCCTGGGGACAGAGCACTTCTGGCATCCAAAACACAACATGAAAAACACACCCACGATGACATCGGTGTTGATTTATGAAGCTTCGTTTAAAAGATCTGGAAAACGCACTCAGAAGAAAGGCAAAATGAAACCAAAGTGAAATTTTGATTGGAAGCCACTGATCTGGCATTGTCAAAAAGGAAGGCAAGACTGGAAAGTGAAATAAAACACTTAAAATCACAGAGTTGTTTCACCCAACTCAAAATGAATGCTCAGATTTATGTTTGCTGAAAATAATTTCAGGGATTGACACCTGCTTGATGGAACTGATGCAAAAAAAGCAGAATACAGCAAAGACAAAAGTCATCCACCACCGTGGTGAGTCCAAAGCCTCTGGGTTTTTTACAGCAGGAAGCCCATGCCTACACTCGCCTCACACCCCCAATGCTTGCATGCTTAACAGCAATAAGAGTGCTGAACTCCAGTCAATATATCCAACTCAATGACTCTGCCTCTGCTGTTTCTGGTCAGCCTTGAGCTCTTGCTCTTCTAATCCAAGCTGAGTGATAGGCGAGTCATTCACCAGTGGATCTGGTTGTCTCTTATTTACCTCGGATGCTCTGCCATTAGGGTTTTAATTCAATCTCAGCCAGTTAAGTGCCATTGTGTACTAATGACATGCAGCTTCATAATCATGTTTTGCCTGATTATAGAGATTAGGACAAGTAGATGCTGGCAGATTAACCTTACAAGTGCTGTCTCTCCATGGGAAAAAGCAGTAGCATAAATCCCAGCTTGTTACAGAGTATGGAGTTTTGTGTTGAAGGCACTGTGATCATGGCTTGACAGAGCTTGTAAGAGGCCCTGAAGGGTTAAGACTCAGAGAAGTATTTATCTTACCCTAAAGCAGCCTTGAATTCTTCACTAACCTCTGCAGCAGCACTCATGTTCCCACACAGGTCCACCATATTTCCCAGTATCTCCCAACACACTGCAGACTGACAATCACAAGACCAAGGAAGAGCACAGAAAAGTCAGAGAATGAAGCTAGGTATGAATGTAGTAACAATGAGTGCAGAAAAATATGGCATGAAGAAAAGATCAGACTCCTTTGCAACCAGTCCTAAGCTGAAGTTTGCATCTCAGTGTTCAGCAGGGGAGCACAGGGCTGGCAGCAACAAGTCCTGGCTCTTTTCTCTAAAGTCAGAGTAAGGTTGCCTTCAGTATTCCTCATGCTCCAGACAACAAATCCCAACAGCTAGGCAGAACTCCAGGAACTGTGATTTCCTATTACATATGCCCCCTTTTACCCAGTGTCCCATCAAGCTCGTAGCACAATACAGCCCCCACTCCTACCCACCACCCCAGCAGCAGGACAAGGGGTGGAAAAGAGCAGCTTCATCACCCTCTGCTCCCTCTGGGCTGCAGAGGGACATGGAGGGAGGACACGGACACCTTCCCCACAGCCACTGCCCAAGAACAGGTCCCCCCAAGGGGCCAGGAAGAACAAATCTTCCTTTCTGATAAACTTCAGAAGAAATGTGCATTTGTGGGGTTTCTAGTGCCTTAGGAATAGGGAAGGGGGGCACAAATGTGACACTTTGCAGTGCTGGAAGCTGGACCCTCGTGTCCAGGCACTGCCACCAACCCGCTCGGCTGCTGAACACAACACAACACAACACGAGGGACAGGGACCCGAGCATGCAAAGTGCTTCTCCTCAAGCACTGCTGGTGCCACACACTTCAGTGCAAAGCCCAACACCTTCTCCCGCCCTCCAGGCACTACTGATGCTGTAGAGGTAGGAAGCAAATGCATCAGCTCCCAAGGACACGGATTAATCACTCAGCACCAGCTGATCACCTTCTGCCAGCTTCCACTCGTGGAAGGACAATCCTCCCATATGCCAGTGGTATAGCTTGGGAAAAGGTCTTCTGCCAGCCCCTCTGTGAGCCCAGGCCCCTCTGAGCCTGCCAGAACAGGCTTTTACAGGTCACATCATTGTGTTCAGCAGCAAGCAGCCTTCACTTTAACACCACGATTAACTTCTTAGAGAGCTCACTGCTGAAAATGCTGAGCTCTGGCAACTCTGTCCTTGTTTTCACGTAGGTGGGGACAGGTGGGAGCGTGGATACACTTCATTACGTGTCAAGCACAAGTTGTGGGAAGCAGTTTCAAGTGCATAGCAAATGAAGGAATGAAAATTATTACAATAGAAGCTGAGTGAACAAATTGTTGTGAATAATTCATTGCAAATTATATTAACTGATCAATCACTCAAAGGTATTTTCCATTATTCTGCTTGCTCTGCCTATAATTGAACCTCTCACATGCCAAGATGGTGTACATCCATCTTCAATTTATATTTTATCATTCACATCTGCGCTGTGTTAAATGAAAAAAAGCTCCCACAACAGCTGTGAAAATACAGCCTCGGTTTTAAGTCGCACTCCATCATAGGTCCTGGGGGAGACTCAGAAAGATTCTCCTCCCCAAACACAGCAAACTCACTTCTCAGGAGCTCCCTCTCCTCCTAAGCATGTCCAAGCCTCACTTATTCTCCTCAAAAACTGTAAAGCAGGGGAAAGGCAAAAACAGCACTGCAAATGCCCTAAGGAAAATTCAATGTGAATAGTCTCTCCCACCTGAAGAGATATTACAGCACTATCATTTTTCATCAGTGTTACTTCCCACTGAGTTTACACTGGAAACAACTTTTCCAGAAAAGTTCCTAAACCAGGTGAAGACTTCTTTATGGAGAAAAAGAGCCTCTGTTAGTGCAATCCCCGTTAAGTCAATAAGCTACACCATAAAATACTGGATACTATTACACTCCCATCTGTACCCAGCACTTGCACACCTCAAGTATTAATAACTCATACGAGAAAAAGCCAACTGGAACTGATATGGATATCAGGGAGGGAAAAAAAACCCCTCCAACAGATACCTTCCTGAAAGAAGGTCTTGATTCCCCTAAAAAATATATAGTGTCAAACTGTTCATACTGGCAAGCAGGCTCTGTGCTCCAAGTTTACATACACACATAGGTCACTAGTTTTTAAAAATCCAGGTTTATCACAATCCTTTGCATTCAACAATTTCTTTCTGAAATAATTTAAACTCTTCTAGTTTACCTTCTGGTGAACTAGGCTCTTTAAAGCTACCTTTAAAAGCTATTATTCCACTGAGGTCTCTAGGGCAGTAGAATAATTCCTGTATGTTCATACCTGATTTCACTGAATAAAATGAAGTTTCACTTGGGTTAAGACACAGACTTTTACACATTGCTATAAGTCACTTCCATACAAATGTAGCTTTGGTCAAAGACCCAGTCTAGCAGAAGAAACTCCTCCCAGCATTACTTGTGAGATACCAGTGGTGTTTGTGCCACACAGGAGAGTTGGCAAAAGTCTGGAAAAACTGATCCCATCCTGCCAGGCACGTCAGGATGGGCTCAGCTGCTCAGCTGCTTCCAAGCTGCATGTTTACTGCTGTGGTTTTGCAGGGATATTTATTGCACAGGAGAAACAATGCCAGGAAAACAGCACTGAAGCTGTAAGCGCCCTGCCAGCAAAGCATCCAGCTTCCTAGCACAGCATACAATGATATTCACATTTTACAGCATATCTAAACCCTGAGCAATAACAGGATAAACTTACTCAGCCTTATCCTCCACTCCCTGCAACGTACAACTGATAGCCCGTTGATAAAGACTGCACCTTCCTAAAACTTTTCGAAAGAAAAAAATCCCCACAGAAAACACAATGCCACACTCAGGCAGCTTCAAACACGTAGTACACCTAAAAATAAATATGGCCCAGTTTGCCTGCTGAGCCAGCGACCGAGACAGCCCATCATGACTGATCACCGAGCTGTCTCAG